GCTTGTGAAAAGTTCTGCTCAAGTCTTGGCTATTGAACAGCGAAAATCGCAGGTCTCTATCTCATTCCTATCAAAAGTTATTCAAAAAGTGGCACCCTGCACTGTATTTTGGTATGGATACTAGTCATACTTCTAATTTTAATTATGACTAGATATTCTTCAGTCATACTTCCAATCTGAATTATGCCTAGTCACAATTCCAATTAGAATTATGACTAGTCCAGTTTAAAATTGGACTGAATTTGAATTATGACTACAACATATTTTGTCGTTCTGTTCTTCGTACGCCTTGTGACATGGCATAAAAGATAGATATACGATAGTGACTTTTGTTTTCTCTCATTTCTGTGGTTTATAAACGATAGAAAAAATGGACTAAATAAACGACTTTCGTGAAAGTTACTTATTTTCTGTAGCAGATACATTTGTATGTTGGAATTGTGATGTGATTATATTCAAACCTGACTACAGTAAGACGAAAGGGAAATAAATCTTCGAAAGAAAATACATAAACTGCATGTAACACTTTACTTTACTTTCAAAGAAGTATTAGATGTGTAAGAATTTCAGATGGCTTCGCCTATTTCAAATTCGTTTTCTGCATCGATGAGAAGCAGCTTTTGTCATTATTATTTGTCAATCAGGATTTCTTACATCGTTTGAGAGATACAAGTATCGTCACAGGTATGTTTATAAATCCAAAGATAATGAATTTTCATCATAAAGAAAGAGATACATATTGTACAGTGGGTTTTTTTCTACAATAGGCATAGATTTTCAGGTATTGAAATTATTATTAAAACTGTTAGAACCTCCGAAAGATGTTACGCGTGAAGTATCATCAGCTACAACGGCAACCCTATCGTTGGTTGTGCCATTTTGAGTCACCATTTTGACTTTATTAGAACCGGATTCATCAGTCCTTGATAAAATGAAAACATTTATGAAAACTCAGTTAGAAAAATGATTCAACAAATCATTCTCGAACAAATTTTACTTGTTGGCCTGCATTCTTGATCCACGATTTAAACAGTTTACATTCGCTGATCTCAATAACTTTTCAACAAATGGAACTACTGCGTCGACTCTCACAGATTGGAAATCGGTTAGAGCAAGTAAAATAGCCGAATAACTATTGAAAGATGAATATCAGACCAACTTCTTAAACAGAAATTCTCGAATAAAAAAAAACTTAAATTGAACTGTTTCAACTGGGACAAATTTTTGAACAGATTTTCTTATGCGTAAAACTCAGTGATTTGTTCGCTAGAATTTTATTATTTTGCATGTTTGTATGTGCCAAATAGTATTTCTGTGTCTGAAACTCTCCGGTTAATGAATAATCAATGTCAGTTCGTAACAATGGTTTGCTGTTTATAGATAAAACTTATTGTGTTTCTCTTCGTCTACTAGCTACGGATAAGCTAAGAAAAAGCGGCTATTGCCTATGCATTAGAGAAAACTACAAACTATATAAACGATAATCGCCTATCACTAAGGAAATATATACGATAGACGACAGAAAATAACAAACCTATGATAACGCGTCACTTTCAGAATGGAACGAAAAAGACTATCGAAACACTTTCATCTCATCTCCATACTCGATAGTCGAATGTCTTCACTACAATTAAATCATCTGCATCTTGGCTTTGTTTCCCTATCTGACAGTGATTTACAAAATAATCTTCTTATTCTTACTAGACTTTTTTGATCTCTTTTTTCTCTCACATGAAATTACGGCTTTTTCTGTTCAAGTCATTTTTTAATTATTAAATTAAAGACTACACACTTCGAAACGAGTTAAAATGTTCTTGTCAAGTTGAAGTTTAGAAATCGTAATATTCGACAACGTCACCGTGATATTTCAACACAAGAATATGTGAAGAAAAGTGTTTGCCTTCAGTTCAACATTATTTTCCCAAAAGAAGAAAAAAGAACTGCAACTGAGAACCAGTCTCTGAATTTTTTTCTTTTTAATACGAAAATATCTTTTTTCAATTCTGCTTTTTTCCAATCTATGTGTCAGTTTAAAGAAAAGTGTCGATCCAGAACTGATATCGGTACCTAAACGTCTGAGCTGAACTGAACCGCTCAGCATGAGATCGTCTTTCATTTGTAAAAGAGAGAATCGGTTTTTTCTTCCGGTTTTGAAATTTCGAAATTTTTAGCTGTCCTATAGCGATTTTGGGTCTCTTCGTAAAAGTTGAACTACTTCTCGAGAGAACAAGCGATCTGTTTGTGTTTATGAAGCATTTTTTATAGTTATTAGTGAATGTCATATAGCTGTTTCTCATGGAGGACGTGAGAAAACATTTGGTGAAATTCAATCACATTATTCGTCGGTACCACGTGTTGCTGTTGATTGGTTTTTAAAACGTTGCATTGCTTGTCAGATTCGAAAACCAGTTAAGCAACATGTAGTAAGCAAATCAATTGTTTCTTTAGGTGTAATGACACGTTTACAGATTGATCTTATCAATATGAGATCACACCCAGATGTAATAACAATAGATATTGTTTATAATTGGATTTTGCATTGTATAGATAATTTTTCTAAATTTAGTTGGGCATTTGCGTTACGTAATAAAACAGCGGTTGAAGTAGCTTCGAAATTGAGAGAACTGTTTTTTGTTTTTGGTCCTCCACGTTTGTTGCATAGCGATAATGGCAAAGAATTTGTTGCTAATGTCATTATTGAACTGAAACAGTTGTTTCCGGAAATGTGTTTTGTACGAGGTCGTCCACGTCGTCCACAATCACAAGACTGCGTGGAACGAGCTAATGGTGTTTTAACTGTTGCATTGGGTAAATGGATGTCAACAAATAATTCAGATCGTTGGTCAGAAGGCCTTTTGCCGGTTGTTTATGGAATCAATACAAGAATATCAAGTGCGACAAAAACAACACCATTTGAAGTCGTGTTTGGACAACCACCGCGTTCGGATTCAGATTTTTGGAAAATTGTTAAAGAACATAATGTTGAGGATGAAGATCAGTTACCAACAGTTATTGCTGAAGCTGATGATGGAAGAGCTGTTGATATAACAAGTTGTACATTAAATTCAAATGAATTAGTTGATGATATTGATACTGATATAAATCGCGTTGTTAAAAAATTAACAGATGATGCTGTTGATGTCGTTTGTAATTCTGTTACTGATTTATCTTCTTCAAATTCTCATTCAGATGTTCTTTCTCAACCTTCATCATTTTGTTTATCATCTTCTATAGATTTGGATTTGCCATCATCATCTAACTCTCTTCTTGGTTTACAATCACCACAACGGCACGATGCCGTAAGAAAACGAGCAACAGATAGTTATTTGAATATTGTAAATAAAAAACGCAAAGAGTATGATGCACATTTAAAAACTACATCGAAATTGTTAAATATTAATAATTGTGTTGTATCAATTAATACTGTTGATCGAACGAATACAGATGCTAAACTTTTAACATGTTTGATAATTTCAAAAGAAAAAAAAATGATGATATAACGTTTAGATTAGCTTGTAAATTTGGTAAGTTACAAAATTCATACACAGTTGAAAGTTTGATTGATTTGAAAGAAGCCTGTCCTGCTGATTTAAAAGCAATTGACGTTGAGGAACTTGACGACATTTCTTTTATCGAAGCATGTAAATTATACGTTCGTGGTGCTTTAAATGCAGTAACTTGTGATTGTAAATCACAATGTGCTACTAAACATTGTCCGTGCAAAAAATTGAATGTCGCGTGTTCAACGAAATGCCATTCGAAACGAGGACAATGTAAAAATATGCAATAGTCATATGATGGTTTTCTTTTCTCTTATTTTTTTCCCATTTATCTCTTTGTTTCATCTAAAATTTTGTCATAATATTAGGTTAAAAGAAAAAGAAACTTTAGCATAATTTATTATGAGGGAGTGTTTCTCTACAAAATCTTTTCTTTTCTGCGTTGTTTTTGAAGAATTTCACGGGTGAACGCTTCTTGTTCTCAGAAGTTTTTTCAAGCATTTTTATATAGAAATTCATAATTAATGCTATAGAAATGGCGCGTCGTGATTGTACTCCCCAGTGAAAGAAAGACGCGTGATTCTCAAGATCCATTTTCGACGGGAATCATTAATTCAGCGCGAAATTTTTTTCCAGACTTCGAAGAATTTGTTTTCTGCTGAAAAATCTATTGTTCTATTAAACTTTCCGTTCAGGATTCTGCGAGATATTTCTTCGGCAGAAATATATCCCAAAGAATGCCAGTACTTACTTTACACTATTTGCTAAGTAGTATTTGCAATAGTATTTCACTTAGGAAGATCACTTGGATCAGAAAAACAGGTCGATTTGTGAGATTTCTAGACGAGCAAGCAACTATATTAGAGTCAAGCTCGGATTGCGGTCGTCACGTATACTGTCATCCTTACGACAAGGAATGCAGTTAGCAATCAAATTTGTCTGTCGATTAATATTAATTAGTTCCTGCAAATTTTTACAAATTCTTGTAAAACTTAATCAACTAATAAATTAAAAAATATTCGGGAAAATTGTTAAGGTTTATTTCAAAACAATACTGAATGAAGGAAAGACTAATAGAATTTTGACTGCTAATTGAAATGAGCAAAGTGCTGCTTCAGCTCGAAAAACTAGTAATCGACTATAATGTAAGTTAATGTTTATCCAAGTAACGTCTAATTTTCGATGACAATAAAACCGATTAAAAGAGCCTATTTTAAGACCTGTGTATCGGGTTAATCGTCAACTGACTACTTCTTTTTCTTTTTTTTCGTGGGCTACAACATAGGCTACTTTGCATTTTTTTACATCAATATATGATACTTTAAAAATACATTTTTTCTCGAAATCAGGCTAAATGTTGAGAGTAAGTAAATGTTTTCTTAGTCAGCTAGTGATCGTAAGCCGAAACGTCAGGATACATATTTCGGGATGTGCTCTACAAACTGGAAAAGTTTGAAGCATAAACTCAATTGTTTAACCTATTATATTCTTATATTCAATCGATGGTATTAGTGATTCATCATCGCCATCAACACTTCCTATATAACGGTCTAATTGAGTTAATGTTGCATTAACAGCTTCTTGATATGTCTTTTTTCGTTCACGTGCTAATTTTTCAATTTCATCTTGTGCATTTTGAGTTTCATTATTTAATTGTTCTAGGAATTGTTCACGTTCGTGATCAGATGTGGCTGTTAACATTCTTGATAGACCAGCTAAACGATCAACCATATATTTACCACTTATATCATATAACCATTAATTCTTTCATTGCATTTCGTTGTTCCATCATTTGTTCAAATATTACTTTTGATCGTTTAAGTTCCATTTGTAAATTTTCTCGGGCTCAATTAGCTTTGTATTTTTCATTTGCACCAATTGAACCGCCACCTAACTGATCAATAATGGGCGATGCAATGCCATCTTTACCACTTTCTTTTGTTTGGCGGCTGATCACTTGTTCGACTTCCAGTTTCAGACTGTCGGTTTGTTTGTTTAATTCATTTGTATTGGATTCATCTGGTTTGCTTTGTGGATAACCTTTATATGCTTCAGTAAACATGTCAGCAATTTTAATAGCTCGAGATACAAACTCTTCCACTTGCCGATTTATCTCATCTTTACCACGAGCCATTTCAAGGAACGCATTAAAAAATATTCCAAACTGTTTAAATACCAATGTTGGATTTTCTGTATTATTTTCACTTAAAACGGCTGCAACTCCTTCTGAAAATTCACCTAAACAATCGCTTAATGATATAGCTGCAGAAAGAGCTTTTTGTTTAGCAAATGACAATACACTTTTGCCTTCGTCGAGCCCAGTTCTTCCACCACTTCTTCCACCATTTTTTATCACTTCCGAATATGAATCAATCAAACCACCTATACCACGCACAAGCATATTACCGATATTTTGTACTAAACCTTGTAATACCGCATCCCATCCTGTGGGAATTTTATCAACAGCGTTTTTATAAGCTTCTCGCGCTTCTTTTACCGAATCTTGAATTAATGAATATTCTTCGTCAATTTTTTCACCAATTTTTTCTAATTCATTTTTCATTACCAATGACGCATTCAATTCAATTGATACATTAGATAATTTTTGATCATAAAGACCTTGAGCTAGAACAGTGACATCAACGACTTCACCTAATAAACCCATAATATCAGCAAATTTATCGTGTGTTGCTTTTGAAATGTTAACACATTCATCACCAATTTTTGCAATATTTCTTAATGATAATGGCAATAAATTTCCTAATAAACGTGGCGTACCTGTAGCAATTAATTTTAATGATGTTTTAATATGATTTGGTATTTGCTGCATATATAACTGAATTTTATTCATATTTGAATGTGCTTCCATAAATGCTGACCAGCCTTCATTTGAAATTTGTGTCAATGTGGCACGAAATGATTTTGGATATCGAATATATTTGAAACCTCCTTCTGGACGATTTTCTTCCAATGAAAAATCACGTTTGCTTGATATAACTAAAACTTGACCAAGAAGACTAATCGATATTGGACCGGAAATTATCATTTCTTCCCATGGTTGATCAATGACACTTTGACGACTTAATTGTGTATCAAAAAGAGTTGAAAGATTTGTTTGGGTGGAATCTAAACAATATTGAGAGGAATTGTGCAATTGCTTCGGATAATCACACAGTACCAAGCATGCGTAGGGACGAGCGGAAGTGAGTTTTATAGCGTCCTAGTTCGGACAGAAAAAAATCTTTTTTTAAGCACGATGAAAAAGCACAAACTTTTGGGAGAAAATCTGCTGGTTTTGCAAGAGATATTCGTTGAGCTTAGTGGAAACTTCCATCTTCTTCACAAAGAATTCGTTTTCTTTCAAAAAAATGTAAGAATTTGAAACTCTAAAAATTTTACGATGCTATGTTCTTTGAAAAAAGTTCTTAATATCAGTTCCTTAAAAAAATAGAATCATTTTTAGTGGTGAAAAATTCAAAATAAATAATAAGATTGACGCCACCTTATACATAGTGAGGTTACCGTTTCGCTTGAGACTAGTTTCGTCTTTATTCAGAAGACACCAGCAGTTAAATGATGACAAAACATTTTTCCTCTCCTTTTAAGCACAGAAGAAAAAGAAGCACATATCTAGAACACAAAAGAAAAATGCAACATAGTTCATTATTAAGTCGTACATGACATGATGCGTCATCAAAAAACATTCAATAAAAGTTTTTTGAGAATAAACATTTCTAATTTTCTTTTTACTGTGTATATCCAAAAGCAAACTCTCTTCTATCTCTCTTTTTATTGCGTGAGATTGAAAAGCAAGAATTTCAGTGTTCCAGTTTGTGGTATGACCAGCAGCCAGACCATATTTAGCAATCCTTGAGAATCCAATACCTCGAAAAGCATCTTCATGTTTCTTGTTTTCACTTTTCAGCTTTCGCTGGATGTGAAATGAATTTTTTCAACTAGTTTGCTAAAACTAATGAACACTCTCCATAATAAGACATAGAGAAGTGACGTGGTTTTTTATTTGGAGCAGCAAGGTTTTTTTAAAGCTTATTTAGCTTGATATCCCGAATCGTCTTTCTTACAATGTTTAATGGATAACCATTATAATAGAAAATACAAGTATAATATTCTAATTCTTTTTCGAATAGTTCTTTAGACGAATGAAATTTATTAATATTATTAGTTATTAAGAAGAGTGTTCGTTAGTTTTAGCTAACTAGTTGAAAAAACTTATTTCACATCTAATGACAGTGGTAGCCTTTGGTTTCAAGGCAGGACACACCTTGTCATCTGTATTTGGAAACACTTTTCGTAATATGGTAAATGAAAAAGAGTAATGTATAAATATGACTGTTGTGGAGATACAAACAGTTATATTGGACAACCAGCAAAAGCTGAAAGAGCACAACAATGTTCTAGATATGTGCTTCTTTTTCTTCTGTACTTAAAAGGAGAGGAAAAATGTTTTGTCATCATTTGACTGCTGGTGTCTTTTGAATAAAGACGAAAGTAGTCTCAAGTGAAACAGTAACTTCCTCTAAACAAGTTTTCTCGGCCTCACTCATCCCCTCACCATATGCAGTTAATGAATCCATTAAAAGAGAATAACAATGTTTTCAAATCAACTGGCTTACCAGATGAACTTCGTGGGCTTGGTACAAGATCGTTCATTCTGACCAATGTATTCAATGGTTTTCGACTGGCTACAAATTGACCAACAGTTGTACGGGCCATTCTTTCAAAAAATTCATCATAGAATGGATTCACAGCCGGATCCGCCGGTGGAAATACACAATTTGTTAACAATAATTGCCCTGAATCTGAATAACAACGATCGAGCGACGTTGTTACTTCAATCAAACATAAGACAACCAGTAAAAGGTATTGGTACATTTTATCTATGAGAGATACAACAAACAAAAGTGTTATATCTACATGAAAATAGTAAAATTTTACCTTTGAATTTTAATCGACACCTAATTCTTCAAAACTAAACAAAATACAGAATGATAATCTGAAATATAGGGATACACGAATTAATTATAAATATGGGTAATTTAGTACAAGGCTGACACGCTGCAGAAAATTCATAGCAAAGACAAGCCGGTTGAATGTGCGACTTCTATATAATTCTTGATAAAGCAAAGAGAAAACAAAATATAAAATACAGTCAGCAAAGTAGACATCCAGAAAGATTTCCCTGAAGGAGGAGGCGGATTGGAACGAAAGACTGAAAACGGTCGTCCGGCAGGTCAAAAATTTCTGAGTAATTCGTCACTTTTTTTAAACAAAATATACTGACTTTTTGCTTATATTTTCGAGAATTTTTACGATTTTCCTTCGTTTGGCTGACAACTTTTAAAAAAGAATTTTTGATTGAAAAATATTGTAAAAAATTTTGGTTCGAGCGTCAGCAATTGTCCTAGTAAAAAGTCTGATTCTTTAATAGGTGAACCTATACGAACAATCACTAACCACGTTATTATCAACTAAGCAAACACGAAGAATCACCAGCCATATTTAATGGAATATTGGGCAATAAGCTAATTACTTGCATTAATTTTGTTTTTGTTTCTTCTAAATCATCAGCACTGATTGTTGGATTATCTAAATTAATACCAACCTGATTACGTTGCAATTCATCATATATAGCATTCATCGGTTTAATAAGTAATTCGAAATCAATTATATCTGTAACAGCATCTTTTAATACTGTTGCTGCTGTTGATAATTCATTAATATGTCGTATGGCTTGTTTCAATTGTTCAGTAACAGATATGATGACGCTGCGTTGTTGCTGAAGATTGTATAAGGCATTTTTTGAATTTTGTAATGAATAACGTGTATTGGTCAGTTGGGTATTTAATAAATTTCCTTCTTGTTCATATCTATACACTACCGATTGATAATATGAAACCTGTGATCGTGCATTTGTTAAATCTCTGGATGCTTGATTTCGAATATTCAAAGCATTTTTTATTCCACCAGCATTAAAAACAGAACAAACTGGTTTTACAAGCCAATCCCAAAAGCCCCGTTTCTTACGTCGTCGACCTCGACACCGTCGAGCATTTTCTACTCGTCTTTCAGCATCACGATAAGCTTGTTCCGCTCGAGCAGCATCCAATTCTCTATTTCGAAGTGTAGTTTGAGCGCCTGACAACATCGATCGGGCACCTTGCAATCTAGAATTTGCTTGACTTACTCTTTTTTCGATATCGTTTACCTCATTTTCTTGTGCACTTGTTTGTTGAACAACTTCAAGTAATTTACTATCAGCTTGTATTCGTATAGCATCACTAACAATAAATGTTGTTGATAATAATGTTGTTAAATCACTTATATGGCAGTTTAATTCGGATGCTAGTAATGCTACTTGAGTTTCATTTTTCATCAGTTCATCAACACTAACATTTGCTAACCGATTCAAGATTTTATCCTGAAGAATTAAATATGCGTTGATATAAACCCGAACAACATCTCGTGCCATTTCAGTTCTATACCATTGTGCATCATCACCATAAGACCATGCAAAATATGTAGAAATAAAAATTAATCAGTAATACATCAAACTGTTCTAAAATGCCAAGAACCGGTAAACTGGGCGCGATACCGAAATTATTGCACCGAGGCTATCACTAGAACGATAATCACCCTTTTATTTCCTCTTATATATTGAAATATAGAACTGCAAAGAAAAAAGTGAACGACTTATCGTCCTACCACTCCCGACTGACATCTGTGGCGATGCAGTCCTTACAAGAGCAGAAAATCTGAATCGACAGTTCGATTCAGAATATTTTTCTCTTACTATACGGAAGTGTTCAACTCCGCTCTTGCTAATTTATTTATAGAGCGCTCGTGTCGTATTCGTTTCGCACGCTAACCAATAGACATTCAACATGGCTGTCGTACCTAAAATTCTACGTAGCAGTGTTTCTAACATTACGCGTACGCCTTTGTTCCGAAGCGTACGGTACGCGAACTAAATTGAAAATTCGCTAGTATCAGATGTTTGCCCTGTAAAGCATAGTGTAGATGTGAATTTCGGAGTGTACTTGGCGCACTTTGCTCTTTAAACCAAAATAGAGAGAAATTTAGGTCTGCATGTCTGGGTTGGGTTGTCATGTGTGTCTCGCTGGCCCTATCCTCACACCTCACCCTCACCCAACCCAGAGATTTAGTGATATCTGTTAACTACAGACATGACAGCCCAACCCAGAGGTATAGAACTGATGATCAGTAGTAAGTTACAGTCAAAGAGACGTGACGACCTAATCTTACCCGCTACAGGGACGACGACATACTAGGAACTGATCTGCTGCTGTTGTCAAAATTCTTTACGAACTACTATTTGCCTTCTTATGTAACGACTTTCAAAAGTCGTATACTTTCTCCGACCTAGATGCCATGCAGGATACAAATACATTTTGTATTCGTTTTCAATACATTTCCTATGTTCTCCAGTTCCTAATCTATCTGGAAAGTCGACCGACGCAGAGTAACAAAATAATTGACGTATCCATTTCTCTTACGATATCTAGCGAAGATCAAAGGAGAGTAGATGTATTTATGTATTCTCTTAAGAAAACGAGTGGTGATCAAGCAAACAAGCGAACAAGAGTTGATGCATTTATCTGTTTCTTTTACGAAAATGATGCTGTTGAAATCTGAGCATCTATGAGCCGGAGAGTAGGTGTTATTGTTGCTGAAGGGCTAACACTACCGAAACGTAGTTTAGATGGTTTGCATGGGTGGGGGTTCGTCGCGCACCTGTGGAAGCTGATGTTTGTTTGGGTTTTCTGTTTGATTGTTATATCAGTCAGTGTTCGAGAGAATGTCGTCAGTTCGCCTCCGAATACATGGTTACTCTTGTACTATGGGCGCGAAAATACAATGGTGGTTGCCATTTTTTTCACCGTTCTCTTTACAGTCCCGTTCTCTAAATGGTGTAAAAATTTAAGAATTCGCACTCCGTTCTCTGTTCAGTCCAAACTCCGTTATCTTTTCACACCTTTTCCTTCTTTTGATCATGATGCAAGAAATAGCTTAATCCGCGCTACGTTCAAACTTCTTCCCTTAATAATTAAATATTTATTATAGACAATAAGATATAAACCACCTTTATCATAATGAAAATAGCTATTTTCATTATGATAAAGGTGGTTTATATCTTATTGTCTATTTTAAAATTTTTCACCTTAAATGATGATTCACGAACTGCGCAAATTTGTCCTAGCGTGAAAGAATTTGAAAATGTGGAAAAATTTAGGCTCTCGTTACATAAATCAACAAGAACTGGAGGTAGTAGAGCAGCGGATTCTAAGATTTTTCGCACTTTACCGAGAAATGAAGTTAAAATAGGTAGAAAACTTTTCTGCACTTTCTCTCTCCCTCACTTTCTATGGCTTTTAAGCACTTGGTTTATTACACCGATAAACAGAGAGAAAAAATTGAGCATGAGTATATGACTGGTCTTAGACTAGTATACTCCCTTTGGGAATACGAAGATTTTACAACACTTGCGCTTAGCAGAGAACTTTCTTTAAGAGATTACGTCTATCGTTATTGGTTAACGTTTCAAAAGCATTTAGGAGAAAGTCCAGAAGGCGTAATTTATAGACAAACACACAATGCATTTTTGATTGCCACTACTCCTTCGCCTTACTATCGTAGTTGTGGGTTCCGAATAGATCGTAAATTTGTTAAGCGGCTAGGTGATAAGGCGGAACACACCTATCTGTCTTTCTTATCCTTTACTAATGTACACCGGAAGCCATATGCACATTTTCGAAAATACTCCTCTCTTCTCGAAACTTTCATTTTAAAGTATTTTCCTCTCTATTCTCCTTGAAAACAAAGGTATGTCAAAAAA